GCATGAGGAGAATTCAAATGGTTCCAATGCAAAGAGATTGGCCGCCCCTCTTAAACTAACAAACTAAAATTCTTACCCCAGGGTTACATGTAAACCAAATGGAACCAGCCCACGAGGAGGTAGTCCATTAAGGAGGAAAAAAAATCCAAGCCCCCCTGCCTTCAGTCTGCTTTTAGCATCATGGAAGCTTGAAGGAAGGGAACAAGAATTTCATTTTGCCTTTTAAATGTGCTGGTGAATAAGTCCAAAGTGAACTATGGTAACAGAGGTATGTCCACTGTACCACAAAATCTTTGTGATTGATCTTTGTAGTGTGTCTGTGTGTGTTTTCAAAACTTTTAACCTAAATTTCATCTTCAGAAGCATTTAAGACAAATACTGGGTATGTTCATCCTGTGTCAAATTTGTCCTGTGGAGTTTCAGTGGAGATGACTCCTATGTAGCTACGGGGAAGTATTTAGCAACAGAGTTGAAAGGAAAAGAAGAACGCTGATCGAAGAGAGGTCTCTACACTACAACTGCTATTTGGAATATGTAAAGCTGTAGATAGAAACTGAGCTCATCATTTCATGGCCTCTAAATATAGATAAGGAGAGAGATTTATATCCAAAAATTATTACTGTAGTAGAACAGACTGTGAAAGAGACTGATTGTTGCTGTTACAAAATGTACTTTGTCTCAGATATGTCTCTGGTAGCAAGAAGTTTCTCCCCAGTTTCACATTTGTATTCTTCAATGAGCTCTGAAGCCAAACAGATTTGGTTTCAATTATGTGTTTCTTTATATAAACAAATTACGTTACACTGAAGAGGAGAAATTAAAGAAAAGCTGTAAGGAATCTTTACTCGACCACTAGAACCGAAGCACCCTTTGCTGACTGTGCAGAGCTCTGCTCTTAGCTGCTGATACGGCTCTTTGGGATGGATGGAGATTTGAAGTAAAGTTCATAGCCCGTGGGAAAATACTTCTTCTGTGCAATGCCTTGAGCCATGCCTTAGTATCCTACTCTTGCCCATGTCCTGTGGATACGGTCACCTTGTTCTCATACCCTGTGCTAGGTCTTGTTGCTCCTTGTTCCCCAGTTTCTGATGTGCTTTCACAGTGCTGTCCCTTCTTCCTCCTCGGTGATCAGATGGAAGGGTACCAGTCTCCGAAGCCAGTCAGTCTTTCATTCCATGTTGCAACCAGTACATTACACCACTTGACCACGACAGCCCAGATGGTTCATCAGCCCTTCCACCCCATCAAGGTCCTGCTGCAGCTCTCAGCTTAATGCAGCTTGCAGAGTGGCGCAGATGGTGTGACACACAGCTTGGAGCAAGTGTTTCCTCTGCTGCCTTCCCCTCTAATATGTGGAGCCTGCCTCATCTCTAGGCAACCCCCATCTCTTGATTTTTGCTTGACAGATCATCTCTCCTCCTACCACCTGGCTGGGTGTTGATGCTAACAGTTCTCCATTTATTTTATTATTTGGTCAGCTCTGTTTGCAGAGTTATCGATGCTTTGAAAGAAGCAAGAGCAGCCCCACCTTTCTTATACATGCCGCCCCTTGACCTTCATGAGGGGTTGAGGTGTGTTGAAGGCAGACTGTTATGATGTCCCTCCACTAGCAAGCTGTGAAGCATTCCTGGGGCGGAATTCCTGCTCTGTAATGGGAAGGCTGCAGCCAAGGCTCAGGCTCTCTTTGAGATGGGAGCGAGGTGTGGAATGAATATGCACTAGGATGGCAGATAATAAATCATACGCAACGAAAACAAAGAGTGAACCAAGCGGTCCCAGAAGCTGTATAGAGGCAATCCGTCCATCATCAGCCCCCAGGCTACAGCCCAGGTGTTAACAGGGCAGTATATTTATTATCTCATTATTATTTGCAATGAGTAAAGATCCAACCTTTAATTAATGCCCTCCTCTTTTCCCCCAACCACTGGCCACAAGGCTTTCTTGGAGCCTATGTTTATAAAACTACATACTGTGTTCAAAAGGAAAATTTGGACGTGTCTGTATGAAACCTGCCTGGCATCCTAGCTGCTGCTGTGAATATTTGGCTGATGTTCTGAGAATTGCCAAAATACCATTTTGTCACTGCCTGGTTGTTTTGACCGCTGAATTCCCTTTTAAGTGTGTGTGTGCTCCCTGTTGCCTTTGCACTCCCTCCTCAGTGACATTTCCCATTTAAGAGATTTTTCTCTTCTGTTCCGTTCCCTTTCAGGAGGGAAGTAGCCACACACCCTCTTGTGAGATTCAGCTAACTAGATCGGTATGCTCTAAACTGAAATGTTTTAGCTGTTAAAAAAAAAAAAAAATCATTCCATCTCTCTGAACGCAAAGATCCTCCCTGTGCCGTTTTGTCCATGGTGAAGAGTTAGTGGATGTTCAGTTCTGTAATTCTTCAGCTATGATCATGCCGAGGCTACCTGCGTAGAGTTATGCAGGGTAGCTCTCTCAGGGTAGTGTCCTTGTGATAATGCTCCCTCAGGAGGAAGGAGGACGTGCAGGTGATGAGGTGCTTCAATTCTCATTGTTTCTATTGCATTTTTGTTATCTATTAAATCAAAATTCAGAACAGTGATCGATCATTTCCTAAATTCAATCTTAAGATATTTTCTCAATTTGCTGAAGGGCCAAAAAAGAGCATTTGAAATGGGAAATAGCTTTAAATGAATGTTCCTCCAACCAAGCTCTCCCTGCTTCATTTCTGTGTAAATGTAGGAAAACATTTCTGGATCAGGCCTGTTACTGATTTGGCACATTTTAGTCCAGAGAAATTTGATATCAGAATTTAACAGTTTGGAATGTTAAGGAGGGCTTGAGAAAGCTCACCCAGCTGAGCAATGAAGAAAAAATTCAAGGAACACTTGAAGGCACTGGAGGAAGGCCTGTTGTAGGAGCATGTCATTGCTGTAAGCAACAGTAAACACTTTCTATGGCACCAGCAGCCAGGAGATGGTGGTGGGAAGGGCCAGGGCGCCCTTTCCATGATCTGTGCCCCTCTGGCAAGGCACATGCCCTCCTGAGAGCAGGATAGACCCTACCTGGTGTCATTGGGAATATCTGTGAGATACCATTGAGGTCAATGTGGCTACTTTACTTACCGTGAATGATTTCATAATCCCTAACTCATTGAATCAGATTTTTTTTTTAATTGCATCTCTTGGATAAAATAATTTTTAGTGATTGATAAATAGTAATAAAACTATTCATTTTTCCCTTCCTAAGCACCTCTGTAGTTAGCAACCCTCTCAAAGCTTAGACATGCCTTGTGTACATTGCTGCTGCATTGGGAACACATCACAACACTTCTGCGTATGACACAGGGTATATTCAGTTTTTCCCAGGGAATATCAATCTGTCGTTCTTGGAGAGGATGCTGTGAGTATAATCCATCCAGAGACAGCTCTTCCAGTTTCCGAAGCTTATTGTTACTGAGGATGCACATAGGATGTAATCACTGGCTGGAGTGTATGCTTCAGGATACAGTAAGGCCAGCAGACGAGCAAGCGGCCAGTTTTATCTGGCTCTTACTCCCCTTTTTATCAGAGCTGCTTGGCTGGGGTTCAGGGGTGTCAGAGGGAACTGTGGAGGCTTTGGCTTGTAGAACGGAGTGCCGAAGTGTCAGAGGACATGAAACAAAACCTGAGAGCAGCAAATATCTATGTGTTGAGAGGGACAGCTTTGCATTTCACTGCAAAAGCTAAACGTTCTTTATTTATATATTTTTAAACAGTAATGACTACTGGCTGAGCTTAGGTAAAGAGATATTGGAAGACATCGCTCTGGTAGGGCTGGTTAAAACTAGCATCCGTTTGTAATAACCTCTATAACCTTAAGAATCTGCAGAAGCTTCATTGCCTGTGTGACCTGGCTTCATCAGGCTGCTGCCGTAGAATAAAAGAGGAAGACAACCACTATGTTTTACTGTGAACAATTGTTACTTATGGCAGGGGGAGGAAGTTTCCAGTAAATTGCAGAGAATTTTCAGTGTCACAAAGAAAAAGGTATTTCACAGCCAGTGCATCTGGCAGTTTGAGACTACTCGTGGCCCGTTTTGCCAACCTAAGTGTTTAGCTAGCTGCAAATCCCAGTAGAACCCTTGACAGCATGTGGCACAAAGTACCCGATGCCCCCAAGGAGCAGTCAGGTTGTGACGTGTATTAAGTGAATGTTCCTTGCGCTCTTTACGTGGGAGTTGCGCATTGCTGTTGGCTTTGCGCAAGTGGCAAAGGCCATAGCTACAGCGTGCAAGGAAACATGAGGCAGCAGCACCCGATCTGGTGAGTACCCTGCGCCGTGGGGAGATAACGAAGCTAAAGGGCAGCTTGGTGCACATGATAGGGTGCAGAGCCGTGCTGACAAGAGGCTGGATGCAGCCTTTGGGTCCAGGTTGGAGCGCTGGCTCAGGCCGGTGCCCGCCGTGCTCTCGTGGACTTGTGCCCAAGGAGGACATGGGCATCAAGGCTTCTGTTGTTTTTGAGGGAAGGCGAAAGCAAACCAGCAGGCATTCTGGATCAGCTAAATGGCTATTCTGTATCAGCCAACCCTTGAAGACGGAGGTTATTATTTCTTTATTAAGCCTTCTCAGATGATGCGTTAGCTTTCGATTCTTGTAACCCCAAAAGGGCTGCTGGTAATAGACAGTGGGAGACAGGATTTGAATGCGGATGTCGCTGGCACAAGAGCCCATCTCACCCCATTCTGATCAAGTTGACTTTTCCACCCTATGACTCCATGTTGTAATAGCGAGGTCCTTCTTTCAGCTAGCTGTGTGACGATAAAGTAGTCACAACTTCCTTCTCTTATCTCGTAATCTCCTAAAGTTCTTCTTCTGGAAAAGATTAATATTGGAACTTCCTTTTTTTTTCGACTTGGTAGTGCATCTCTGCGGACTGCAGTGATGACATGGCTTATTTTAGTCATTCTAATTCTTCTCCCACTAAAGTATCCATTTTTTAACGTACTGGATCGACTGTTTTCTTTTTTTATTTTCTTTTTAACCTGCACAGTGTTTGAAAATAAGGATAAGATTGTGATCATCATGGAGTATGCGAGTAAAGGAGAGTTGTATGATTACATCAGCGAGAGGCGGCGCTTGAGTGAGAGAGAGACAAGACACTTCTTTCGACAGATAGTCTCTGCTGTACATTACTGCCACAAGGTGAGCAAAGGATTCAATATTAAAAAAGCTTCTTCGAAGACTGTCTCGTGTCTTATATATTTGAAAGCATGACTGAGGCAACATCAGTCACTATTAAGTGTGACAGCATGTGATTGTATCAGTACAACAGGAGCTCTTGAGGCAAGCTGCTGACAGCACTTCGTTTCTTGCTTCTAAAGACTAGGAATAATTTGCTGTGCTGTGGCATATACCAGCAACTCCCTTACACTAGCCTTGCATCCCATTTTTGTTTTGGAAGTTATTCTCTTGACATAACAAAATGATTGACATCATTAACAAAAAAGGACACCCCATAGTAATTCTAGAACATTAATGCTTTTGATACATTCAAGTAAATTATAGTTTTCAATGTGAATATGCAAGTACACAGCTTTAAATAAAATACATAAAAAAACCTTTTATCCTTGCTTGTGAACCAGTTGCATAGAGAGAGACTTGCATGCGGCTAAAGGCAATGAGCAGCTAACAGTTTCTTATTTCAATTCTCAAACATTTTAATCACCACTTGGATTCTGATATGCAAGGGAGGTTTGCAAAGTCCTCATTGCATAGTGCTGAAAAACTGTAGTGGCCTTATCCGCACAGTTAATTATTTTCTGAATTTCTATAAAGAAGGCTCTGACCTAAACCGAGCCTGTGAGTTTCCATCCCTAACATTTACAGTCTTTTAGGATTATAACTCCCCTGATCCAAGCGGCTGCACATTGGAGGAACGAGAACTTTTGTAAGGACTAACGTCATTGACAGATATTGTTTTCTGGTGCCTGGGAAGAATATATTGCTTTCACACAGTGGGGGTAGGATACGAGTTGGAATTAAGTTCCGAAAAGAATCCCCCTGCTGTTTTACAGGCTTTGTGGGAGGACAGATTCCAGTCATTCTTCCCTTAACCACACACCAAGTGACTAATACATCTCCTGTCACTAGTCACTGGGCCATGAGTGTTATGACAGTGAAATCAGCCCTGAAATGTAGATGCAAAGACCACCCTGCCAGTTCACCTTTAATTTGTCCAATATTTTCTCATGTTCTTGTGTTTTTTCCTCATTTCAGAATGGTGTTGTCCACAGGGACCTAAAACTGGAAAACATCCTTCTTGATGACAATTTTAACATTAAGGTAAGATTTGTTCTCTCAGCTTTTCTGAATGGATTTACATGTTTTGTAGCACTTTTATCTAATATATTAGAGAAAAAAAAACAGTGTTATGGCAACAGCTACTAAGCAACAGATCTGGCAAGAGACTCTGAGGTTTGGAGCTTGAGGAAAGAGGTAGGCATAAATGCTAAATGAATCCTTGTGTGATGTGGAGAAGTAGACCCTGTCCTGCCACGCAAGGGCCATGATTCCTAAAGAAATATCTATTTATTGGTAGGAAACAACACATTTCGTGCAGTATCAGGTTTGTTTTATAAGTGGTATTGTTGCTGGCTATTGCTGAGGCTAGAAAAAACTCTCCTGTCTACAGGGCTCAAGTGCCTCCTACAGAACACTCTGAATGTCCTTTTGATCATGTCTGGAAAATAAGCAAATAGAGTTTCAAAATAAACCTAGTAAAGCACATGTGCTTCATTAGGAAATGGCCTTGGAACTCCAGACACAAACGTATACTTTGGATGGTGATGTCAGTGATGTCATTTCCATGTCATTTCTCCCCAGTGAAAGCATGGGAATGACCTTCTTTTTCCCCTTTTCATCTTTTCTTTTCCTAATAGCTGTAATCAAAGATAAATAATGCAGAGATTACTGAAGTTGCCAGGTGGCTGAACCTGTTTCACTTTCCACTTCGTTCCTGCCTGGGCAGCTTGATGGTCGGGCCCAAGGATCGATAGACAAACAAGCACAGGGAGGGATGGAGAAGTTTCTCCCAACTCCTGGGCCCCCTTGCTTAATTACCAAAGCAAAGCAATGAAGGAACTGTCTCTGCAGGCAAGCTTCTAAATAGCCTGGGTTTCAATTTGGTCTCTACTGAAAGTCATAAGGCTGCATGTGCTGCTTTTGGGGTTTTACACTGGCAAGATTGTCTTAATTTTAAGCTGATGTGCAATGGAAATGGAAAGTAACATATGGGAGCTGCCATCTGTGTAGAACTGATGACAGAAGCTAACTGGATCAACCAGTGGATTAGAGACACGTAAACATGTGGTCTCTAAAAATAGGCCCTTGCAGAAGACACATCCTCTGCAATACTTGAACATTTTGCTGTTACGATCCAGTGTTAGAATGAGCCTCTCCACTTCTGTTCCAGAAGTATCGCTAGCTGCAGTAGCCTCAACTGTTTTCAGCAGTGCTGAAAACCAAACGTCGCCTTTCTAGGGCATTGTATACAAAGCAGACTTCCGCAGGCAGGATGACCTTTCTTTCCACATTACGCACCAAACTATCTTCCCAGCTAATCAGAGTACTCTTGAGAGAAAAGAAGAATTTGGGGAATTTGCTAACCGTGGTGATGTGGACCTCAGAAGTGTAGACATCATATGCAAAACCAATCACTTTCCCAAGACTCCAGGGAGCTGCGCTTTGTCCAAAGACTCAGTCCTTCTCTTGTGTCTTTCGTGTGAGAGCCTAATCTTTGTGTTGGGGAGAGTGTGGGGAAGGGGCAGGGACAGTTAGGCAGGGACTAGCTTCCTATTTATATCCAGACCATTTAGGTGACAAGGGGCTTCAGAACTACTGATGTATTTCAGCTGTAATAGTGGCTGGCACTACTGGGAAAAGATGGCCAGGTACAAGGAAAAAATGTTTGCTGCAACATGCAAGCTCTTCACTCACCTACTGGTTGTTGCAAGAAAAAAAAAAGCCTTTTTTTCCCCTTTTTTATTTTTTTTTTAATTTTTTGTGGCGAGGGGTCTAGACTAGTGTCTATGTCCAACCTACTAAAACTAGTATTCTCTTGGTTACTTCAGAGGTACCAAGCTTTTCCATCTGGATCCTACGTATTTTAAGTACTGCAGCCGTCTTTTGAAGTAAATGCAGTACTCAAGAAATACATGAAGACATTCTGCTAGCTGCAACTGCCCACATACCCTCCAGTAACTTGGGCTCATCTTTTTCTTGAAGGTTTGCCTTTACTGAACTGAGTTGTTTCTAAGCTGCCATGGAGGTATTTAGCCTGATTCCAGCCTTTCCTCAGTGACTATTTGCAGTCACTATTCTCAGTTACTGCAAACTGCAAGGCATGCCTATGAGTGGGCAAGAAATCCATCCTGAGCATGGGTATATGCACACAGGTGGCTGCAAGCTGTCTTGCTGTCTGCCAGTAACTATCTCCACGAAGAGTCTCATGAATCTGAAACTTGGGAAACAGTTTGTATTTCATACATCTTACTAGCAATGTCACTAAAATTGGAATTACTTCGAGAGAGGACTTTTTATGTTGCATTTCTTTTTTTTCACCTTTCCTACTACATGACTAAGATCGGTCCTAGTTACTTGATGTTAAACATACTGACGCTATCTGCTTTGATACTGAAGCTGTGAATGGATCGTTATGGTTTCAGTGTTACTTATATAGAATTTTATTTTCCACTCTTTCTTTGTTTCACTGAACAATAACTGTTGGCAAGGAAACACATATGGAGCTGTAAACTATTTATTAGCAGTTGAGTAAATCTATCAGGTCCTGATTCAGGAAGTATTTCTATATAGTTTATTCAGGCACAAAAGAAGAAATATGCAATTTAGGGTTTGCCATGGATGGTTGCCTTCAAATAGTCAGTGGAAGATATTTTCTAGAAATTGAGTGATAGTTGTATCTGTACTTCCCCAGACCTGTATTTATATTTCATTCAGGAGACTACAAAGCACTTACAAATTTCACAGATTGATTTTAAGAATGTAAAAATGAAAGGAATCCCTTTGTCCACGTGTGCAACATGTAATTAAATACATATTTTGGAAGAAGCTAGTGAGCTACACATTATGATTTACACAAGCATGCCATAGTAATATAAGAAAAAATCCCTATTAAAAAAATAATATGTATATATATAAATATATATATATATATGGCAACTCAAGAAATACATGAAGAAATTCTGTTAGCTGCAACTTCCCACATCCCCTCCAATGCTATATATACATATCTGTCTGTCTACCTACCTATCTATCAATCAACTTAAACAGTACTTTCAGAACAGAATATAAAGAGGAAATAAATTATTATCTCAACTAAAATGGTCCGTGAACCAGCTGATAAAATACAATGGTAATTTTGGAACCATTCTTAAATTTTAGTTCATTAAAGATAGGTCATGAGACAGATGAGTGGTGTATGGATACATAATAAGCTTTTTTTTTCGTTTAAATGGTGAACAAAAATCTCTGGATGTGTTATGTGTTGAAGCACCACAACTAGAAAATAACAATGGCTGCAGGTGACAAAAAAATTAAAAGTTATGAAGAGTTCTGCAGGTCCCCCAGGCGACAGCAGGAGGATGATTAGGGGAAGCTGAACTGTGTATTATGTTTTCAAGGGACTGGGTGTCCTCATGGTAGTATTTCCTGCAAACTATTATTTAATAGTCTATTGCACTAAATGCAGCAAGCACAAATAAATAAAATGACTTTTAAGCACCATGAGACTGAATATGCACACAGATCAGCTGGGTACAAGGAGTTCAGCCAGCCAGGTCGTCGAAGAGGCCCTTGTCCTTCTCCCCAGACGTATGCCCAGGTATGCAACAGGAACTCCCCGGCTGAGTGTTTCTCCTGGGAACCAGTCTATCTGTCAAAGTCAATAGTGAAGCAGGATTCTAAAACTAAACCTTCCCTGGACACGGCCAACTCCCAGAGCAGAAAAAAATTATTTACTTTCTTGCCTTATTTGTAGTGAGACATACTTAAATATTTAAATAACGTGGTGATGAAATTAGGGACTTTGCCACATGTACAAGCCTTTCCTTCCTCATATCCACATGCCAACGACTAGTTGCACAGATCAGCTTAAAATTACTCCGTGCTACTTTGATCTCCCTCTGCTTTCTCCTTTCTACTCTCCAGCTCTAGATGATTTGGAGCTGCCCCCTCTGCTTGTCGTGGATTCCCATGGGCAGATGCAGCTGCTGCCCCAACAGCGCAGCAGCAAAGCAGTCTCCCCCTGACATGTTTGTGCCATCAAGAGGATGTCACCTTTCCTAATCCTAACGCAGCAGCACGTGGGCAGCGCTAGATGGAGAGCAGGGCTAAAGCAACCATAAAGCATCTAAAAAGCTCCTCTGACCTGAGCAGTTAGGAGGTTATATGCAGGAAGAATTTCACACCAACTTTAGGCATGTGCCTTTGGTGGTCTTAAAAGTCTGCTGATGGTACCATCTTCTCACCATTAGTTTTAAAGAGACAGAGGGTGCTATTTTTTGCATCATTGTAGATGTGAATTTACTCAAATGGCAGCAGGGTGAGGGTACAAATTCCCCCCACTAACTCGTACCTACTGCTGTTTAGCACAACGAGGGCGGATGGGTCCCAGTGCAACCTCGCAGCTCCTTTCTGGTACCAAAATACTGTGCACAGTTTGCTGGAGAGAAATTGCTGCCCAATGCAGCAGCCAGATGCTCAGTGCCTCTCTCAGGCTTATCCAAGTGCCGTGTCTGTCCCCATGCCACAGCCACCCCCAGGGGATGCCACTGTCATGTAGCCTGGCACAGGGAAGAGAAAATCTCCCCGTTCGTGGTAGGGCTATGGGGGCTTCTGGACTGGGAATCACACCTAAAAGAGAGGCCCAGCACAGCTTGAACTAAACTACGTGATCCATCCTGGAGTGATAGAAGGAGAGAAAAATGCAGGGAGAGTAGTAACACAATCCTGCTAACTCTGCTTTCTCTTGAGCTGGTAAGGGGACACCAATCAGACTAACCCCTAAACACCCACGAGGGTTTCATATATACAGAGTAAGTATATGTAGCTGGGATTTACTTTCCTGGAAGTCTCATCGACTACGCACAAGTTTCGTTTGCTTTGAGAGACCTAGTTATTTGTCTTTTTGGAAGTACAAAGAGCCAGATTCTTAAGCAGTGTAAAATTGGCAATTTCCATGAGTGCAAGCTTCACAGAATGTATAGTCCACACTTAAGCAGCAAAATTACATTGGATTTATCATAGCTAACAGTAAATATGAAACATTGCACCTCCTGAAGTGAAGGGAATAAACTCCACTTCCCAGCTCCTCCTAATTTAGGAAGTTTTTTGACTTGATGCCTTCGTTCCATTAAAGTGCCAAGAACATGAAGTAATGTTGGCTTCTATTAATCTTGTTTTGGGGGGGCATGACAGTTTTAATGGGAAAAGCTGATAAACATCAGTCTGTGAGTATGGGAGTGGACTGTAACATAAATACTCCTTTCCTGAATGGTCAAAATGAAAACATGAATGTCCAAGTCTGAGAGTTTCTTAGTATGAAGAATGGTATGTGTATCTCTATATATACTCATGCACATCTACATGCATTTTATACATTCCATGGTGTTAAGGAAATATATTTTCTTAAGAAGCATACTGTGCAGTGTTTGCCCCCGTCTTAGCTGCATCCTGAACTAAAATTAAATTCAATAACCAGCAAGTTTTAGCACTGAAACGATCCCATTCTTCCCCTGATTGACAGGGCACACTTCATAAGACTTAAAACCAACTTCCTGCAAGCCAGTCTGGGTGACTTGATAAGAAAGTGGAATTTAGGGCAATTAAGTGCAATCTGAGCCATGAGAATATGTTTGCAGACTGCAATAGTACACCAGCTGTTTTCAATGACATTCCAGCCATACAATGAAGATTTTACAAACCACATTTATTTAAGGGTTGAATTTTCTGCCCTGGGTTGATAATACCCTATTTGGGGGATTGAATAAATTCAAACTATGAATGGATCATGCTGAGATGAATTAACATTCATGAGCAGGGATCAGCTGCTCTTTGTGCTGGACGAGTCCAAATTCTCAGAGGAACACCTGCAAATACAGGGCATCAAAATAAGAGAGTGTGATACACAAAATCTCACATTGTCTTTGTGACTTTAAACAATATGTGGATTTTTATAACATAGAAAAAAATATATATATATATCTTTATATGTTAGGGTAAAAGAAAGGAAATCTGGATTTTATGTCCATACCTCACCGACTTTTTAAAAAAATTTTTGGTCCTGACTGTCATTTTTTTGGGGTAGTTGCAGGAGTTTGGTTGGTTAATAGAAACAAAGCTTCTATGTCTCCCAAGAGTTTGCTACATCTTGCAGGTTGAAAGGTATTAGCAGCAATGATGATATATGTTTCAAAAAGCCAGGAGTGAATGGTGCTGTTGGTAAATCTCTTCCCTTTCTGATCACTTTGTCTTTTCCTGACTTTTCTGTTGGGATACCACTTAATCACTACTTTTTGCTGGGTTTTAATTTCTTTCTGGTACAAAAGACTTGAAGAAGGTGGAGAAAACCTATTAAAAATTCTGTCTCTTATAGCTACAAATTGATAATACTTATTTTATGCATGTGCTTTGTATCTTTTATGTATGTCTTACGTCAATAGTGAGCAGTAATAAAAATATCTTTTTGAAAACAGAGATGTTTTCATTTTAAACAAGATAAAAATTGAGATTCGCTGCCTTATGCTAGAGAAACAAAGGAAATACAAAGGTTGTGGGAGTATTTAGAGTTGCCATCCTTAGCCTTTGTTTTATAAGAACAAGAGCAGAGAATTGAAGTAAACAAACTATTTGGACTTAATCCCTCAATTCCTATATGGGCAAAATTCCCAACAGTCTCAAGGGAGTTTTACTTGTGTTGGGAAAGCCGGATTTGGGCCCATTGTTTCCAGTTAGGAACCGGACTTGTGTTTATTATCTTGTGATAGACATCTTGTTTGTTTAACAACTCAAATTCCTCGGTGTGGTGTCCCTGAATCTGGAACAGTTAGTGAGTAACTCTCTCTCTCTTGCTTTTTTTCCTAGCGGAGTTAAATTCCAAGTGATTTTAAAAGTCCCTTTCTTCTGTAAT